AGTCCATGAGGTAGGCACAACGGCTGGGGATGCATCCAAGAGTTAATTCCCTCTCCCAGCACAGCCAGCGCTGAGGTGAGGGGAGATGCTGGCAGTCAGTAACAAATAGCAGCAATAACACGCAAGTACATCTCCCGGAGGGAAACTGGATTCTGAAAGGTCAGACGTGTTTCTCTCCTTGGTTAAGCTCTGATGGAAGCAGAAACTCTTTGAACAATACAAGGGATGTTTTTTCATGTGCTGGCTTCTATCAGGAGGATAGATGGGACTTCTTCTGCAAAGATATGAGAAATTCTTTTGTGATGCCCCAGTCCTTTGATGGAGAATTTGGCCTTTTCTGAAAGGTATCAGACGGGGTATTCACAGCTGATCTTGGGGCTGGGCGGTTTGTAGCTGGGAGGCTGGTTGCTGTGTCCCGGTCCTAAGCTGGACCCAGGGTGGGGTGAGTGCAGGAGGTGCTGTTAGTTATCCGGACCCTGCAGAGTCTGCTGCTGCTGCCAGGTCATAGCAGCAATGCTCTGTCAGTGCTGGGAGGTTCTTTAACCTGATTGTTTTGTCCTTAAAGTTCTGGAGTTTTGTGTCCTCCTGGAATGAACTGCTGTTTCTTTTGTTGCACTGCTGAAAAACTGGCTGGCCCAATGCTGCTTGTTTTAAAAAAAAACCCACAAAACACCAAAAAAACCAAAAGAAACTCACCTATGTTTGTCTTCTAGAGTCCTGATTGAGAAGATGATGTCCTCCTCCACTGGTGATGGAAGTTCCTCTGCTGCCGGGAGTGGGGATTACATTAACATACAGGAGACGTCCCCGCCAGGCTGGGCTTGCTGCTAGACGCACTGACTGCACCTCCTGCCTCGGCTCCAGCAGCAACGGCCTTTTATTATCATCATCATTTTTTTCCTAAACTGGTTGTCACTGTTTTTTGGGGTTTTTTTTACATGATCATGAACTCTCCTCTGTTTAGTGCGTATTTGTTCTCAGTAGGGCATTGCTGCAATGACTTGGAGTGAGGAGATTCCTCTTGGTTCTGGTGTAGCAGCACCTGAAGCTCTGCTGCCGGTAACGAAGCGCGGTCCGTGTTCGAGCACGTGGCTTGCATTCATTTTTTTTTTTTTTTTTTAAATTTTGAGCACTTCACCTTCTGACATGGGATGGCCTGTCTCAGGCAGGGCGAAGGATGTCGAAGGTATATTTTTAATATTTTTGCACCTTTTATTCCCCACTGCCTGCACCCACCGTACACAGAGGCACCGGTGACCCTCATTTGATGCACGCAGAGCTCGAGGGGTCTCTCTGTGCCGGTGGATTCCCAGGGTGGGATTACAGCAAACTCTTTATCCATGCTGTGGAGCTCCATACCTCTGCTGCCGTGTCCCGGAGAGACCAACACATCTCATCATTGCCACTAACGGTCCTTAAGACGTGAAGCCAGATGTGCATTAGCATGGTGTCCCGTGTACCCAGTGCAATTATCAGTGTGAATTTGAGAAGCGGTGTCTCACAGCCCGTCCTTTTGTGTACCCTGGGATGCTTAACAGCACAGACCTCAAGGTTTTGTCCAGAACTGCCCAGTTGCCTTCTGTTCGCCCCTTCTCCCTCTGTCTCGCACAACCTCATGTATTCTGTTCCGCTGCCGCTTTATTAGGGCACCGAGAGCCGAGCGAGGAATAGGTTGTAAACCCCTTTGTCCGAGGGAACAACAGTGCTTTTCACTGCAGAACACCCCGTATCCCACCAGCTCCGGTAGCTTTGCAATTGCTGATGAATTGCCTTCCCACCGTTATTCTGCGGCGATGAAGGGATTTGGGAGCAGGGATGGTGCAGGGGGGCAGCCCCCTGAAAGCCCCCCCCCCCCCGCTGGGTTTAGTGGTGCAGGGGGGAAGCGAAGGAGAAGACACTGCAGAACAAAAGGAGATGAAGGGAACCGCTCCCCACTTGCTGCCTGACGCCTGCTTCCCCAGGCGTATCCCCAGGTTCTCGTTGAGAATGGTTCTTGCCAACAACAAAAAAAAAAAAATTAGTAAAAGTGCCCCAGATAGTTATCTCAGGAGAGTTAACAGGAAACTCAGTGAGCAGGGCTGGAGTTCCAGAGCGCTGTGGGCGTTTTCTGGAAGCCTGCTAGGTTATAGCATTGTCCTGCCCACCGTTTGGGTTAGAATTCAAACACCTGGTCTTCAATAATGTTTCTCCCTTCTTAAGTAATTTAATTTGAAAACAAGACTATAAATTGGTTTGTCCCAAAAAATGCTGAATTCGGACTGCTTTTCTTTGGCGAAGTATTCCTTCTGTCTGTCTTTTCTTGGTTTATATAACCTATGGAGGGAGAAGGTGGTAAGAACAGGAGCGGACTGCCTTCACTGCGCACAAAAAATTCCGAGTTTTCATCCTCTGGAGTTGAAAAGGAGGGATAAGTAAACAGGGCTGAGAAATTCAGAGCTAGGGTTGTGTTCCACTGTTTTCATTAAAAGCTAAAATGTCTGGGCTGGGATTCTGTTGTGCAAATATTGCCAAATTGGGTTTTATAGGCCCTTAAACATAGCCTTTACTGCGCCACTGGATTCACTGTAGAAACATGAAACGTGTAGAACCGTATTGTTGAATTTTACTTCCTAAACATTGTGTTAAAAAAAAGAAAAAGGGTATTTTTTTAATCCTATGAATATTTCTAGTTCTGTATGGAACATGGGGAGAAGGGTCTAATTTTAAAGGATCTGTCACAAAACCATTAAGATTCACGTGTTATTTATTGATTTCTGTATATGCACCTCAGAGTGTTTCAGCAGAGGTCGAGTGTTTGAGCTGTCCTTACAGATGGAGAAACTGAGGCATGCAGTGGGAATCTCTGCCCAGGACCAACTAACTACTCGAGTCAGTAAGAGCTTGGCCCTGAACGGCAGCTTTCTAATTCCTGTTTTGCTGGCCGAGCTGCTGGGCCATGTGTCTCGCAGGAAAGCATCTTTATATCTTTTGCATATGGGTGTGATACGTACCACTGCCTCTCTGGTGGCTGGACCTCTTTCCTAAGTGCTTCTCAGAAACAAGCAAAAACCCAAAGGAAGATCTTGAAAGGTTTTCTTCTATTATACAGAATTTTTGTCCTGCCCAGTGGTTTCCAGTACCGGTGTATGCCTTGCGTTGTTGGTTTTTTTTTTCCTGCCCTGCTTACTGCCTGTTAACATCTTAATAGACACAGTAGACAAGTGTCAAAAAACAAACCTGCACAACAGAAACAGTTGTTGCTCAAGATCGGTGTAAAAACCCAACCAGACAGGAAAACGATTTTACTGTGCAGATGTGTGTGTTTTTTCAGAGCTTGCTCTGTGGCACACAAGGTGCTTTAAAAAGCAAAATAATAATAATGAAAAAAAACCAAACCCAACATGCTCTTTGCTGGGGTAAGCAGTGCGGAAAGAACGGTTGCCTGTGAAATTGATTGTGCCCAGCTTGTGCTAGCTGAAACAATTCTCTTTTATAAAACAACAGAAAGGGAAAAGACAACTTGAGTGAGGCTAAGAAATATTTGAAACAAAGTTAAGTCTCGTCCATGCAGACAGATAAAAACTTTAATCTTTCAAATATGAATCAGAAAAGCCTCGTCTTGACTCTGATGAACTGTGCTTTGCTGAAGGCACTTGATTTTCCCTTCTGCAGTGCCTGCTTTGACTTTGTACTCTTTGTGTGACTCTGGGCCAAATGCACCTATTTCACTCCTCCACGTGTTCTTTTTCATTCCTATAATTTGTGGTCACAGGACTCAAAACCACATGAAGCTTAACGGTGTATTTTATGTGTTGATGACGGCACACTATGGGTCCACATAGCTGGAACTTTTTGCTGCAATAGAATTTGAAATCATGAGGGCAGACTGTAGTTCAGAAATAAGGTAACAATATCAAAACTTAGCCTTTTTTTTTTTTTAATTGCTTGCAGTTACACTGAAGTATTTTAGAGACAGGGTTCTGATTACTGTAAAGTTGCAGTATTATCATGTTACTATAAAGAGAAGAAACTGCTGGGAGGTTTTCTCCAAATCAGTCAGTAACTAACGCAGCGTTGCAAAAGTTTGAAATAAAAGTTTGACATTGCTTGTGTTGTTGTGGTTGTTGTTTTCCTGTCTCAACAATCCTAACAAATGGGTTCACAAGTTCAAACTAGAAACAGTCTTGCTGTCAGTAACAGGGTATGTATAAAGCGTACAGTGTGAACTGCCCTGTGTTGCCAGGAAAACAAATTAGATCCTTTTCACTGAAACATCTTGCTGTCTCAATTATTGTAGTGTTATTGACCTACAAGCGGGATGCAAGCATGCAAAACTTTCGCATCTGTGAGTCAGTCATAGCGGCTTTTAATCCAATATATCCAGCTAAGAGGAGAAAGAAAAGAATTCCTTGATGTGGTTGGTTGTTAATACGCCTTCCTCCTTATGGCTCATTAATTCCCACAGTGTATTTTGGGGCTGGCTATGCAGGCAAGCAGTTGCTCTGAATGCCCCTCTTTCTTTCCTGATCAGCTTGATTTTCATGAGTATTGACTTGCACGAGGGACAGGGCACATCTGAATTGATCAGAAAAATGGCAGTAATTCCAAAGGAGACAAATTAAGCTCAAGCAAAGCATTAAATGAACTCAAATTACTCCTATAATTAGGTAAAAGCTGACCATATTTGTATTGTCAAACCACTCTTCTCAGATATAAAAAAGATTTTAAAATGGTTTTTAATAAAACTTGAGGAATGATTTTCTCTGAAGATTCCAGTGCAATGCAAAAGCAACTTGCTATTGCAGAAACTGCTGTAATGGACCATGGAATATGTTTCATTTTCCCATGGCATTTTCTAAACAAAATGAGTAATGATGTGTTTCTGGGGAATTTAATGAACCCAAAAGCTTCCCTGGACTTTTTATATCTTACGTAAGTTTTGCATGTTCTTTATATCTGCTGCCTGTGGTAGAGAGAAAAGTGGTGGTGGTCCTGAAATCAGCACAGATAATACAACTACACCCGCTGGAAGGAATTTTCTGCATTTCTTCCTACGAAATTGAACCTAGGGATGATCGGCGACAGGAAGAAAAAGCATCGTGCTGTAAAAAGAGGAAAGTACATGGATTTATTATAAATCCCATCGCAAACCAGAAGCTGCTCTGGTTCGGGAGCCCACCCCGCAGCTGTTCCAGTTGGGTGTCGGAGCACGGATGAAGGACGCGAAGGCATTTCGCGATGACCCTGTGCCCGGGACGGGCCGCGGACGGCCGGGGGTGGTTCTCTCTCCTCAGGCCTGGCCGCGGCCGGGGCTTTACCCGTTTGTGTATTCCCCCGGGCAGGGCCCTAAATGGCGGCCCTCTTGCATGACAAAGGCCCCGCGCCGGGATGGCCTTCCCGGGCCCTAACCGCCCTTCCTAAGCCCCGATAAGCAC